ATGGGTTAAGAACATCTGAACACTGCCCAGCCTGTGGCCAATTTTGGGGAAGCAGAAGTGCGCGCCACACAATCTCTCGGGCGTCCAGGAAAAGCATCATCACCAGCCTGTTCAAAGATTGACAAAGAGGACTCAAACTTTTGACCTCATTTTGCAAAGGGCCTGCAGTTGAGCATCGAAAGAACTCATTCTTGTCGAGCTGAACTTCTGCTTTTATCTCTGTCCTTCCTCTTTTGGGTCTCTTCCGAATGAGAAGGTGGAGTTTTTTCGGAGCGCTTTGGAAATTCCAGAGGCATCGCCATCTGTGACGAGTATCGTCTTTTCCCCCCCCACCCTGGGTTTTTCAACTTTTTAAAATATCAATCTTTCCTCCCCTTCTGTTAAGGCGCAGATGATTACCAGGCAGGAGTCATCGCTATGTGGTGGTTAAATATTAAAGGGCTTGCCCTGTAGGTTAACCCTGTTTTCCATCTGGACTGCTCATCCTTAATCTCATGCTTCATTTGTTTGGATCGCCCAACTGGAATTGGGCATCCTAAACCTTGCATTGTGCCCTCTGACTTGTTCTGCAAACGGCAAAGAAAACCGTGGCTTAGCGCGGCGTGGGGATGCAACCTCTTTTCCGATCCTTCTGGGGAAACTAGCATCAAGCAAACCTTGGTAGTTTAACCAGGGTTGCAACCATTCAGAACAAACATTGAGTGTTGGTGTGCAGACTTGAGACTGGGGTGGGGAGGGGATGAGTCCCGTGTTTTTGTGCTGAACGAGTGAAATTAGCCAGAGTTTCCTTCCTTTGGTCCACCAGTACGTTAGGCATTAAAGAAAGACCTGTGCTGTGTAAGTTACTAGCAGATGTCGAGGTGAGGGACGGTCAGGGCAACTAACAGAATTTGCAGCTTGCAAGGTGTGTGCAAACACCAGATGGGTTTTTTGGGACTGGAGGCGAAAATGCAAATTCTCTGCGCTGCAACCTTTCCTGTTTTTAAAAGTTGTCTTCCTTTATTGAAGGAGAGGAAGACATGGAGGGGGAAGTAAGAGTAGGAGAGAGGGGGGGAGGGAAGAAGAGGGGAGGAGTGTGGGAGTTTGAGTTTGAATTTTATTTCATTTGTATGCCGCCCTTTTCCCTAAGGGGACTCAGGGCGGCTCACAGCTCAAAAAAGGGAAGGGGGATACAAACAGTTTGACAACANGCCCTATGAAGCGGTATATAAGTCTAATAAATAAATAAATTCAGAGCATGTTTCTGCTGTTAGCCAAGAAGATTCCTTCACGTAGGCTTTTAGCAATGAAGCAGTTTAACTGAATCTTCATCTGCGTCTGGTCTTCAGTGCTTGACAGAGGTTGTCCAAGGATTGACTCTGGTATAGCAACTTGGTACACATCTGGAGAGAATAACAGAATAACCCCAGCTGAAATCATCCTGGGAGGAAAGCTACCAAGTAGGCCAGGAGACCCACCATCTCCCGCCCACCCCCAAATAAATGTTCTCATGAATTGCTATTTCGGGATGGACAAACCCATCTTGGTAGCCACTTGGGGAGAGTTGCCTAAAGAATAGCAAGAGTTGGAAGGAACCTTGGAGGTCTTCTAGTCCAACCCCCACCCTCTGCTCAAGCAGGAGACCCTACTCCATTTCAGACAAAAGTTTGTCCACTCTCTTCTTAAGAAGCCTCCAGTGATGAAGCACCGACATCTTCTGGAGGCAAGTCCTGATCGCCACCCTCACGCATCTCCTGAAAAAGGAGAGGTTTCTGTGAAGTTCCATCATCTCAGCACCTTTATAGTTTCAGGGGAGGGAAGGAGAGATTTCTGGAGGCCTCACGCCAAGGCGGGGTCCTCTTCCTGTTGGAACAGCTCAGCTGGTCTTCTCCCGCTTCGGAGAAGAAGCGGTTGGTTTGATTCTTGGCATCTTCCGGAGAAGCAGCCTGGGCATTAATCAAATAAAAAACATAATGGTCTCCCTTTGGGCTATTTTTAGCAGGCTGTGGATGAGCAGGAGGCTATTTTTGGGTGCGGAGTTGCTAGCGACGGCAGGCCTGATCTAATCTGGTAAATATGATGGGTTTCTCCTCCCTCCCCCCCTTCCTTTCTTTTCCTTCTTTTTATGAAATTCCCGTTCAAGGGTTTCCAGCAGAATGTGGCCTTTCCTTGTGAGCACACAATTCCGGTTCCTTTCTTGTCCTTAAGCCCCGTTGCTTCGAGAAACTCTGGAATAACTCAGGAAGATGGTTTAATCCTTGACTAGGTCTCCTGGATTTAGACGCAAAACTCCAGATGACCACAAGGGGAGCCGAGGAGTTTGGTTGCCTTCCGGAGTTTTGTGAATCCTGCTGGGGTCTTAACTTGAGCCTTCATGGCTTCCCTACCTGCATGGTTTTTTTTTAATATAAGGTAAAGGTTCCCCTCGCACATATGAGCTAGTCGTTCCCGACTCTAGGGGGCGGTGCTCATCTCCGTTTCAAAGCCGAAGAGCCAGCGCTGTGCGAAGACGTCTCCGTGGTCATGTGGCCGGCATGACTCGACGCCGAAGGCGCACGGAACAGCTGTTCCCTTCCCACCAAAGATGCTCCCTATTTTTTTACGTGCTTTCGAACCGCTAGATTGGCAGAAGCTGGGGGAAGTGACGGGAGCTCACTCCGTTATGCGGCGCTAGGGATTCGAACCGCCAAACTGCTTCTCCGCAAGATGCCCGGGGGGGGGGGGAAATCAACCGGAGACAGAAATGTTGGGAGGGGGTTGCAAGTGTTTGTGGCAAGAGAGTTAAAGAAGGCTCTTCCTCCCCTTTCTCCTCTCTGGATACACCTGGTGCAACTCTGTGGTTTTTTAAAACATGCCAACTGGGATAGAGGTTTATGGTCTGTTTAGAGACGGCGCAATGCAATTATCTCGGTTTTGCAGGATAATAAACTTTTTTTGTGTTTCTTTTCCTGCACATGCTTATGGTTTGGGGGGGTGGGGGTGGTTTGAAATGGAAAAACAGATTATCAATCACGGGGTAGGGGTAGGGGTCGGAGGGTCAGGGCTGACCTCTGAATCTGCAGGGTCGAACCCTGAACAGAGCATTGAGGGTCTTCTACAAAGGGCCAGGATGGGGTGGGGGGGAAGGAGGGAAATCTCTCTTTGTTTTCCTTCTCTGGGAGTCTCCCTGGTTCCTTCTCTCTTTGTCTCTTTGCGCTTAAACCAAGTTTTTTGGCTGTAGACACCCTTCCCAAACATCCCGGGCCTCCCTCTGGTTAACCAATCCAGCTGTATGCTAATTGGGAGCGAGTTCCAGCCTCCCCTCCTGCGTTAAGTTGGCTGCAAGGCCATTGTTCGAAATCCCTCTGCTTCCTTGGCGGAAACTTTTTTCTTTGAATGGAATGGGAACCAGGGGGTGGGGGAGAATACCCTATGGTCCAAATTAGAGAGAACAACACTCTTTCTTTCTCTCTCTCTCTTTCTTTCCTCTTCTCTTCCTCCCTTCCTTCCTTCCTTGCTTCCTTTTCTTGCTTCCTTCCTCTTCCTTCCTTCTTTCCTTTTCTTCCTTCCACCCTCCCTTCCTTCCTCCTTCCTCTTCTTCCTTCCTTCCTTTTCTCCCTCTCTCCCTCCTCCTCTTCCTTCCTTCCTTCCTTTTCTTCCTCCCTCCCTCCTCCTCTTCCTTTTCTTCCTTCCTTTTCTTCCTCCCTCCTCCTCTTCCTTTTCTTCCTTCCTTTTCTTCCTCTTCCTTCCTTCCTTCTTTTTCTTGCTTCCTTCCTCTTCCTTCTTTCCTTTTCTTCCTTCCACTCTCCCTTCCTTCCTCCTTCCTCTTCTTACTTCCTTCCTTTTCTCCCTCCCTCCTCCTCTTCCTTCCTTCCTTTTCTTCCTCCCTCCCTCCTCCTCTTCCTTCCTTTCTTTTCTTCCTCCCTCCCTCCTCCTCTTCCTTCCTTTTCTTCCTCCCTCCCTCCTCCTCTTCCTTTTCTTCCCCTTCCTTCCTTCCTTCCTTCCTTCCTTCCTTCCTTCCTTCCTTCCTTCCTTCCTTCCTTCCCTGTCTTGCTTGGGTACGGCCATCCTCTCTCTCCTCTCCCAACCAGATCCTGAACAATCACCCTCCTTGCCACCCTCCCCCTCCCCAGCCCTCCCAGACAGGCAGCAGATGCCAGCCCCCCCCCCTCCCTCCCTCTGTCAATAAGAAAGTGCAGCCAGGCAGGTGGTGGAGATGGCAGGGTGGGGCAGCCTTCCCCATAGTTTTGGCTTATGTTCAGGTGGCCGTTGGAGGTGAACCACTTCCAGGCAAGGTGGGTGGTGCTGCCACCCGTTATCAGGCCAGCCTCGGGGCCAGGTGTGGCGGAGGATGAAGACCAGAGTTGGCCCTCCCTGGGTTTGTGGTGTTCACTGCAGCTTGGTAGAAGGGATGATCCCAGAAGGAGTTCGACAACCTTAGAAGGGTTGGGGGACCCACGGCAGGTGTGCAGAACCCCCCCCCAATGAATGCAAATCCTCAATGCAATATTCCAAAGGCAGATGCACAGGTGAAGGTCACCTGGTGGAAGGCTAAGCCCACCTTTTCCTTCCCCCCCCAAAAAAATGCCTTTCCAGGCCTTTTTGAAATGTTTCATCAGTAAATCTCTTTGCAATGCAAATGAAGTTTTTGCTCCAGGCTGGGTTTATTTCCTCTTTTATCTTCTTTCGAAAGTTCTCCTGGGCCATGAGCTCCACCTGAACTCAACCTGGTGATGCTTACAGGGGTGGGGGGGGGGGCGCCAAACCGCTTGCTTAAAACAACAACTAGGCGTTTACACCCCACCCCCCCCAAACATCCCAAGCTTGGTTTACACCCCGGCTTCTAAACTCCAAACTATGATTTACGATGCAACGGAAGGTTCTATGCAAATCCCCATCAACGGCTGCAATTTGCATGGGGATTTGAATGAATGCAATCTGGATTTGTGACCGTCGTCGGGATGACCAAACACCTCTGCTTGACATGATTGAAGGCAGCACATTCCTAAATATCTTTTCTCCCCTCCTCTTTTTCAGACTTACATCTTCACCGATGGCGAAGACCAAGAACTCAAGCAGAGAATTGGTGAGTGGATGGGATCTCCTCTGGGGCAGGTGTTGAAAATGTCCTTTTCTTACAAATCCTTATGGTGGGATTCCCAGGGAATGGGGCCCCGATTAACTTCCCCACCCCCAGGGGGAGGGAGGGAAGGTGGATACTTACTCAGTGAGTGTTTAATGAGGACCCCTCCCTGCCTCCCAAGCTAGTTTAGGCCCTCCTATTCTTCTGATGCTAATGAACTCTATTCATGCCTCCAATTGATTCCTCTCCAGAGTAGCAGGTGGCAAATGATGAGAAAAGATTGGCATGAATAGGGGGACAAGGAATTCTCCCTCCTGTTAAAAGGAGTGGGGGGAGGGCTGGGAAAATCCAGTTTTCTGTTCCACTTCCCACGTTAATCCTTTCTGAGTTAACACTCAGCTGGGTTAAGGCTGGGAACAAAGGCGCTTCCATTTGGTCAAGAGGAGAATGAGTTCTTCTTTGTGGTTGTTAGTCACGAAGTTGTGTCTACCCCATCGCGCCCCATGGACAACGTACCTCCAGGCCTTCCTTTTTCTTTCTTTTTGAATTCAGTAACTTCGTCTTTTAAGGCAACTGAACGTTTTTTCCCCCCCTTGTCTCTCTCTTCAGGAAATGTCATCAACACCAATTGTTCTTCGGCTCACAGCCGCCAAGCCTTATCCTGCAAGATGGCGGTGGAATATGACAAGTTCATTGAATCCGGACGGAAGTAAGTGGAGAGGAGAAGGCTCAGTTGAAATGTTTGAAGGCAAAGGGTCCTTGGGTTAAGAGATGCCCTAATGGATCACACATCGGTGATCTACTACATAATTCCCTGGCTCCTGACCTAATCCAGTCTTGTTTTCATCCTGGTGTTAGGTGGTTTTGCCACGTGGACGATGACAACTACGTGAATGTCCGGATGTTGGTCAAACTGCTCTCCAGCTATGCTCACACGCAGGATATCTACATTGGGAAGCCCAGTTTGGACAGGCCCATCCAGGCCACCGAGAGAATCAGCGAGAACAAGATGGTAAGCCCACCAGGAGAATGAAGGGACATGTTGGTGAACATTCGGGCATGCGCATTTTCTAAAGCAGTGGTCTCCAACCTTGACAACTTTAAGACCTGTGGACTTCAACTCCCAGAGTTCCTCAGCCAGCAAAGCTGGCTGAGGAACTCTGGGAGTTGA